TCACTAATGGAGTTCAACAAAACTACATCCAGTTGATCTTTTGAAAGTTTTTCATAACAGTTGGCTAAGTCTTCGGTCAATTTAGTGAACCTATTCAAGTTGTCATCCAAATCAATTGAGGGAACCATTTTAAAAGAAAAAGTGTTGCTTTAACAAATAACATTTGTTTGGGATAGTCTTAGTTACATATTGGGTTTTAAGTTTGGTCCAAAGTTCAAAAGCAGTTTTGATTTCACCAATAGTTCTTATCACATTATTAGATAGGTACAAGAAAATATTACTTTAGGTAACCTCTTTAAGTTCATTTTTCTTTGTAGGAACATGTCAGGGGGCCAACTATCATCTAAGGCCTAACATATCTCATTTGCATGAGGATAGCTTCCTTCTTTTGACCCCACATATTAAAATCACATTTTTCATCAAATTGTATAACCTCAAACTTAGTAGAAGCCAATTTAGTACAACACAGAGTACACATGTATCAGTCAAAAGAATACAACACAACAAGTTTTAATCACGTATCAGAGTAACAAAATTTTTTTTTACTAGTTTTAACACAGAAAGGGCATGGAAACCAAATCAATCTGAAGAACACATTATCAAAGATCACAAAATTATGCTTCAGTGATTTCTCCTACAAGATCATCCTAATACAGACTCGTACTAGATTTATTTCAGATTCCCAAGGCCTTTGGACAAAGATTAGTTTCTAGGGGATCTCAGTGTATTGTAAATCAAGGGAAAAATCTAGACATCTTATATTTTGAAAAGCAAATTTTACAAAATTGAAAAGATCTCACCCAGTGAGTTTATAAAAGACTCAATATCCTTCAATTCTGCTAAGTAACATATCCAAATTTATGTGATCCAAGATGTAGGAATCATGAGCGTAAGTCCGAATGAAGACCCGTTGATTATTATGCGATCAAGAGTAAAACAAGTTAAGAGGTTATGGGGATGCTCGTCAAAGCCACTATTAATGACACCATGTTCGGGATGCAAAATTGAGCAAGTTTCATGTTGGGGTTGAAGGCCGAAAAGCTTTGGATCAATGTGATATAGGTGGATGATATGGAAGATATGGAAAATGAGTAGTGTGGATTAAAATGGATATAACTTTTAGCTTGGGTGTCGGATTTTCGCTCATGAGAACAATTCAAAATCCACACGAAATTTCGCACGAGAAGAAGGAAGTCAAAAAATAAATATGCGATCGCATAAGCTGTTACTGAAACAAAACAAAGGCTGACTATTTGTTCTATGCGAATGCATTGATTTATACTATGTGACCGCATAGTACAAATTTCTGGATGCATTATCAATTTTTGGTAACTTATCTAGTTTCCATAAAATTTGATTCTAATTATTATTTTTGGGTATTTGAAGCATAATTTCCATCCAAAACAATATTTTTAGGGTTGGTATAAATACTTTCTCATATTGATTGTAAGAACAACTTTTGACATTATTGAGAATTAATTTGAGAGGCAATTCTTGATTTCCAGTTTTGTTCTTCTTAGAACAATTTTGAACTTATCAAGATGCTTCCTTGTGGTGTTCAAATCCAGGTATGAGTCTTTGGTTGCGTGATCAAGAGGTCTTTCATATTTCTATTATTGTGGGGTTGCTTGGTTTGTCATCTTGGGATTCAAATCCATAAACAGGGGTTAATTCTTGGCTTTTCCAAGGTTCGACAATCTTTTGTGGGTTCATTAGTGATCGTGCTAACCGGGTTCGCATCACAAATATTAGATCCACTGTAAATCGGTCCTTTCTTCCAAGATCCATGTATCTTGTACTCAAATTAGTGCTCTAATACCACTAAAAAGGCCCAAACACAATATTAAACACAAGATATAGTTGTTCTATATCACAGCACAAAGTAAAACTCGCAGAAATTAAATCGAACACAGAGAATTTTTCGGCCAAAACCCTAATGGTTCGGTGACCTAATCTCCTGTTGAGCATCCATTAAAATTGATATAGCTCGGTTGCACTGTAAAGACTTAAAAGTAGTAGCAAAATTGACAAAGTTAAAACAATATTTAGATACAATTTTTAGAGACTTATCTCTATCAAAAACTCAATAGATCTACCAGGAATCACAAAAGAAACCCCAGATCTCTTCTCTGAAAATACAGCACAAGAACCCTCTCGTTCTTTTCTATTTTCACTCAAGAAAATACAAGTATTAATGGTTAGAAAACATTAGAACCAAATCTCAAATGAGATGTTCAAGAGAAAGAATCATATACTAAAACCTTAGCTAGCGAGAGTTAAAACTCTCTAGAACTTTCTCTCATTAAAACCAAGAAAATGAAGAATCACATCTGTCTCACACTGAACTGGCATCCAAGAATAAAACCATACCAATAGATGCATTCAATCTATCGGTCATTACTTAAGACAGATGTCAACATCCAATTGAACATTCCCACTTACAAAAAAGGTGTTTTGATAATACGTTTTTCCTTCTGTAAATTAGGGAAAGAGTTTGATTCTCAACAAAATTCTTTCTTGTCATATTTCAGTTGTAATAGGAAAAACCATGGACTATTGGACAACCTATAAACATGCATGATTATGATCTTACTTCCGTCTTACTCATATTTCCTTTTGGCACATGTATTGAACATCCCAGCATGTGAATGTTACACAAGTTAGGTTTTTGATCGATTCTTGGATTTTTAGATCAAACCAATGATCTGATTTGATTTTTAAAACATTTGTTACTTTTTACCCTTTCTAATTATTTCTAAACATAACGTAATTTAAGGTGCCAAACATGCATAATAGCCTCAATGATTTTCATCAAAGTTTGAAAAGTAAATTGTAGAAATGTACGACGGATAGCAATTTCCTACGAACGGTGGGCATGGATTCATCACTAATTCCCATTGATCAGGAGAAAGACTAATCGCCTAAACCTCTTTTAAGCTTCGGCTAAACACTTTTCTCATTGAAGAGTTGGATGGAATGAAGCTTCTTCTCTCTCTCTCCTAAAAAAAGTCTGCCCACCAACCTTGCTTTCTTTCTCTCTGTTAAGGAAATTGGTAGTGATGTGTACAAATTTTGTACGACCCGATCACTCACGACCTCATGCTCAAAGTCATGATAACTTCAAAAACTCTTCTAGGGCTAGTACATCCTCGAGTTTATGTGATTGGGCTCGAAGTCACTCTCTCTTTAGATTAGAACATCCTAGGGCTCGTGTGAGTGTGCTCAATCTCGGCCTTGAAGCCTTTGGACATATCGTGTCCCTCATTATCCTTTTTTCCTCTCTTTATATCTGGATGTTCCTAATTTTGGTATTCCCCATGATCACTCCCCAATGAGTGAGCTCAAGGTATTCTGACGTACGTGTCTCCATTCGTCGGAGTTAAGGCTCCTTGGGGACAACCTGAGGAGGTTATTTAGTTCTATTAATGAAATAATTGATGTTGGTAATCTAATAGGACTCTATCATCAAAGTTTTTTGCTTATCCGAACACTCTATCTCACAACTTTTATCAAATTACAACTTTTAGGTATGGAAATACTCTCAAACAGTTTACAACGCTTTAATCAAATAAGGATGCTTAATTGACCTATCCTAGGAGTGCATTACTTAATCCTACTACAAGTGTACTATATACCTCTATAAATATAAAGCCTCGGATCATTATTTAGGTATGCTTTTACATTCAATTTATAGCCTTATGCTTATATGTTTCCCTCTCGCTAACTTAAGTATCGGAGGGCGACGAAGTCATATCTTGTTGCTTTGTTTCATGTACCGGAGTTTTTGTCCATGTGCTTCTTTTGTCCTTAAGCTAGGGAATCAACATGTGCAGATTTTTGGCAGCATCAGGTAGAATATACAGAAAGTTAAGGATTGGCTATAGTTGTATCGGTCCAGCTCTTTCTTCTCTCGTCTCAATCAAGAAAAGATAAAATATCGATGTTAGTCTTCTTAACATATCAAGTCTAGAGTGCAAGGTCTCCATCATCTACATGGACTTACTTTTCTTTCAATTTGTAGGAATTTGATAATATATAAACCGAAAGATCGGGGTATGTGAATGTGTATCCAAGTAATAATTGAATAATTAGAAATTTCTCATACGCTTACCGTTAAAAGGATAACAAGAATCTGTAATTATATATTCCAATAGTGAAAAGTCAACGAAGAAAAGTCAATGCAATATGCTGGCTTAGCAGTGTCCCAAGAATTAAAGAACACAGTTGGATAAAAAAAATCTAATTGATGACCACGTCAACGAAGAAAAGTCAATTCAATGTGCTGGCTTAGCAATTTCCTAAGAATTAAAGAACACAATTTGATTTAAAAAAAAAAAAAAATCAATTTTTTTTTAATAATCAAGTGATTCTCCTAATGTTTTTTCTTCACGCGATCAAAGTCATGTTTATTTCTAACTTTTTAAAGCTATATTTAGCTTTAATAATTTACCATTACTGGGAAAAAGAATTTCTTATGCACAACTTTATTAAAGATAGAATGTGAATCGCTATGTTGATTTTTCCCATGATCTCGTCAATTTATCATGTTTGGGCGGACAACAAAGTATTATAAATTAATGTGTATTATGTTTGGCATATATTTATAATTTTTTTTTTTTTGTAAATATTCAATTTCTTTACACACTTGAGAGATCTACAAGTACTATTCATTTATCCACAATTCATGTATGTCTATTTAATATTTAAATCATTTATATACAAGTTTCATACATACTACATAAAGATGAAAAACCAGAGTTTTATTAATAAGTTTAGTGGGAGAAAAAATGAAGTTTTATTAATGAATAGTTTATAACAAGTGACGACGACGATATGGCAGAAATTAATAGATCACTCACTATAAAACTGACTTTTCGACAAGATAATGAAAAATCGAGCTCGCAGAATGTATCCCTATACATAACAGCTGGTAGGGCAATGCAACTTGTCACATATATTAACCCTCTATATCTATATATATATATATATATATATATATATGGGCCATTTCATGGCTGCTATTCGTGCGATTACTATCTTCATGATCAATGCCTTAATATTCCTCGCTCTCTTCAACACACTTCTCATCCCTCTCACCCCTTGACTGTCTTCCCAAAACCGATGTATTCGAGTAAATCATTTTCGTGCAATGCATGTGGATCAATAGGCAATGCCTTCAGTTTCAGTTGTGCACACTGTGAATTTGATCTCCATATTCACTGTGCAAAATTGCCAGCCAAAATACTTCTTGAAAAGCACCCGCATGAACTCAATCTCTTATTCCACTTCCCTTATGAGGATAAAACCGTTGTCTTTGAATGCGATGTTTGTCAAGTTAAGATGAACAGAGATCATTGGTTGTATTATTGCGCTGATTGTGATTTTGCGGCGCATTTAAATTGTGCTACAGGTAAAGTTGCTCGAAAGGAAGAATTGAGTAGTTCATGTAATAAATATTTGAAGTCTGCTACTCGCAAAGTTGAGGACATTCAGGCAGTCGATAAAGCTCAAGAAAGGGTAATGGCAGCTAGGGTTCAAGCTCTGCTGATGGCTCAAGGGAGGAATGCTGCCCTCGATTTGATCTGACTCTGGATCTCGCCGCCAAAAGTATTATTATTATTACTATTGATATGCTTTTAATGTTTCAAAATAAATGCCTCTCACTTCTCAGTGTCGGAAATGAGAGTTTCTATGTGTTTTGTGAACTTTAATTATGTTACTTTCAAGTGTAAAATGGTCCCAATGGGGCTTAGTTTAAATAAGTTTGCCTCTGTTCAATTTTCTACTTATTTATTTCTTTTGTGCAGTAACTTACAGAATTCTCAAACGTAGCAAATTAATCGATGATTGTGTAGTAAGATAATTATGTTTCTGAGTATATAGATTAAATAATATTGTGACTTTGGTGGGATAAATTGTATAGGAGGTCACCCAACTTTTGCTTCAACTATAATTAGGTCATTGAATTTCTATTGGCAACAAGCTAATTAGTTAACTACTAGCAATTAAATCACCCAAATTTTATTTCATCAATGTATTTAACATAAAATGTTTGAGTGATCATTAAAACTAACTTTTACATACTTGTCCATCCACATGAACTCGCTACATCAGCCATTTAGCCCTTGTCTCAAGCCTCCTTTCTTCCCTCAAAATACATTATTGAACAGTAATTTGATCTCATTTCAACTGCACATTTTTCAATAAAATAATATTACGCTCCAATAAAAAAATTTCCTTATTTTTAAATCACATATTCTCTATCATAACAGTCTCAAACAACCCTTTAAGAAACAATTAAAAAAAATAAAGGACAAAGCTATTTGTACATTAAGTATTACACCCCATTTGATAGAAGTACATGGCTGAAAATTTTAACAATAAAGGGTTCGTTTGATTGTAAAGATAAAATTTGGGTAAAAAAAAGAATTCCAAGGAATTCAATTGCCTTGAAATTGTTTTCCAAGAAATTGTAAATTATTGTGTTTGATTGGTATAATTTTCCATGTGAAAACTGTTTTGAAATAAAAGTATAATTTTGTGTTCGTTTGACTTTGTTTTACATGAAAATTATCAATTAAAGGGAATTTTTTTTACAATAATTCTTAAAATTTGTTTCCATTACCCAAAAAAAGAAAAAAAAAAAAAAAACGTCAACTACCTTTCCCACAAAAGCTAGAAAACTACAATCTCCAAGAAATCCAAGAATTTAATTTCCATGGAAAATATAACACTATCAAACAAACAAAAGTTGAAAATTGGCATTCTAATTCCATTTTCCCTAGAAAATTAGTGCCTAACTAACGGTGCCTAAAACTTTGTGTACAGTCTTCGTTACATGCCATTTGAAAGAGTGGCATGGCAGCTGAATTATTTGAAGCAACCTGCCTCCTTTTTTTCCCATTTCAACACCCAATATTCCACACTATATATCAAAACCCCAAAATCTCATCCCTATCCCACACTCCAAATCCGAATATTGTAGAAATTGCTACTTTATTGGAATTCTGGCGTCGTGGTCTAAATAATTTTCTGTTGGAAATTATGTTGGTGGAATGATACCAAATTTACGGGTACCGTATATGCATTTTAGATATCGTATATGCAGCATACTGTATATGCAATATACCGTATATGCAGCATATCGTATATGCACAGATTGTATACCGGATTTGCACAAACTTGATTTTACGCATACAATAAGATTAATACCTGGTTTTCTCATACCGATTTATAATATTAGTTAATTGCAAAATAAACTAAATTATTATAAACCACGATATATTAATCTAATTTAGAACTAAATTATATTAAGTTATGTAAAATACGTTAATTTAATAAATCTAAATGGGAAAGCTGAAAATTAACAGAAATTTCAGAGAACAAAAAAATTAACAACATGTTTATAATTTCATATAAACTTTTAACCTGAGACCTGTGTAAACACAGTGTCCTTAAAACAGATTCGCCCTCTCACCGTACGTACTTGAGTTTTAATCCGAGCGTTTGTTTTTCAGAATACAACGGTATATAGTAGAATCTAAGCACTGCAGATACTACTTTAGCGAACTGATCTAGTATCCGAACAATATTACTACAAGAACAAGACCTTATTGGACAAGGAATGTAGAAAAGAAGAAACTGTGTATGCAGGAATGTAGATGAGATTTTCGAATGTGTTAGATTTGCTGGAGAATGAGCTTTTTTATAAGCATACTACCCATTAACATTGTGACCATTGGGAGTCCATTGGAATTACTTCCCATTAACACTGTGACCATTGGGAGTCCATTGAAATTTTTGCAGTTTAGAAACTCAAAATTCATTGAAGAAAGTCAAAAAAAATTGGCAAAACATGAGCTCTCCAATGGGGCCATTTTTACCTTGTTCAGTCCGACATTTGTGTGCGCAGGTCGTGCCCGCACCCAAGTTCAAGGTTCGAAGGCCATTTCAGTTTATGATTTACACCCCCCTGCGCGTGCATGTGGAGAGAGCTTCTATGCTACACATGATTACACATCTCCAAAGCATAGCCATATATAAAGTGGTTTGAGTTTCCTTGATTTTCCTATGTGGGATAAATGCATTTTTCCCACAAAATCAACTTCCAATGACCAACTTTGAGCTCCAAATTTTCATTCACCCGAGCTTCATTTTTGGCAAATAAATACATGAAATCGATGTTCTCGCGGAGGACAACACATATCAACTTTGATATTCCACATTGGACCAACGAGTCCCATCGAAAATTGTGCCAAAAGTGAGCCGCTCACTCAATTTTTTCCAACAATCCCCCACATGAATGAAAATTGGGAGAGACACGAAACGTGAGATACAAGACTTGGTGATAAAGTTCAGCGGTAGAATTCTGCATAGGATAGGTAGGTGTTACCCTTTGAACCTTCCCTTGTGAAAGCATATTTACTTCACTGGCTGACCAGTAGACGCGATGTCCTTGAACTGTTCTGCCATTTGTGTAAACGATGATATTCCTCACACAGGATTCCTCCTAAAATAATCCAGTTCTCATTATTCGTTTTGGCTATGAACATATGCCTGGTTCTGTGGGAGTTCTTAAGAATTGAGCCCCACACAATTCTCTTAGAAGCGGTCCCACTTCTCTCTCACATAGGTGATTTCTTATTACAAATAACCGCCATTACTTTGCTCGATTTACGACGCATGAGAATCATTACAAGCATATTGCTTAACCTTCATCCTTACGGGTATCACTGTTACATCATAGGAATGGACAGGAGGTAATACCCCCACAGTGATTTTATCATGTCTTTATAGTTAGGTTTTCCCATTGAACCTAGATCTTGGGATCTCCAGTCAATTAGATTGTGTTTTCCTTTGTAATGACTTATTCTTTCAAGGGCTTAAGTCTCATTCCTTTTGATGATTTCATAACTAACTCTCTATTTAACCCTTTGGTTAGCGGATCCGCAAGGTTATCTCTTGACCTTATATAGTCAATAGTGATAAGTCAAGTTGAGAGTAGTTGTCTTATGGTATTGTGTCTACGATGTATATGTCTAGACTTGCCATTATTTATGTTACTCTGTGCCCTTCCTATTGCCGATTAACTGTCACAATATATGCAAATTGCTAGCACAAGTTTTGATCATCTTGAAATATCCTCTAAGAAGTTACGCAATCATTCAGCCTCTTCACCACATTTATCTAAAACTGTAAACTCAGATTCCATCGTAGATCTGGCTATAACCGTTTGCTTAGAGGATTTCCACGATATGACAGCACCACCCAATGTGAACACATATCCACTTGTGGATTTTGAGTCTTTTATATTAGATATCCAATTAGCATCATTGTATCCTTCAATGATTGCTGGATATCTAGTATAATGTAGTCCATAGTCACGAGTCTATCTTAAGTACCTTAGTACTCTTACAATTCATTTTCAGTGATCAGCTCCTGGATTACTCGTGTATCTACTCAGTTTACCGACTGTGTAGGCTATGTCTGGTCTAGTACAACTCATTAAGTACATTAGACTTTCGATAACTCTCAAGTATTCTACTTAAGAGATACTTTCTCCTCTGTTTTTAGACAGATGTTGACTCGTATCTATTGGTGTTCTAGTCAAGCCAGTATTATCCTTATGAAATTTTCCTAAAATTTTGTCCACATAATGTGACTGACTTAGAACAACCCCATTTGATGTTCTTGAGATTTTCACTTCAAGTATAACATCAGCTAAACTCATATTTTTCATGTCAAATCTCGGGTTTAACATATTTTTAGTGGATTCAATCATCTTATTGTCACTACCAACAATAAGTATGTCGTCAACGTAAAGACATAAGATGACATATCCATCTTTAGTGTCTTTGACGTAAACACATTTGTCACATTCATTGATTTTAAATCCACTCTCAATCATGACATTGTCAAATTTTTCATGCCATTGTTTTGGTACTTGTTTCAAACCATATAGTGACTTCACCAGTTTACAAACTTTCTTTTCCTGTCCTGGTGATGAAAATCCCTTAGGTTGTTTCATGTAAACTTCTTCTAAATCTCCATTTAGAAAGGCAATTTTAACATCCATTTGATGTACTTCAAGATTTCGCAAAGCGGCAATCGCAAGTATCATCCTAATAGATGTTATTCTCGTCACTGGAGAGTACGTATCAAAGTAATCAAGGCCTTCCCTTTGTTTATAGCCTTTAATTACTAATCTGGCCTTATACTTCTCGATAGTTCCATCTACTTTCATTTTCCTTTTGAAAATCCATTTGTAGCCAAGTGGTTTGCTTCCTGGAGGAAAATCCACTAGCTCCCATGTATGATTTTGCAGTATGGAATCTATTTCACTTTCAATTGCTTTTTTCCATTGAGGTCTTTCCGAGGAATTCACTGCTTCTTGATAACTTTAAGGTTCACTTTCTAGCATATAGGTCAGAAAATCAGAACCATAATATTTTTCTGTCCTTTCCCGTTTGCTGCATCTAACCTTGGTCTCTTCTTCTAATTCTTCGTTCTAACTATTTTCAGTCATTGTCTCATATGTTCGTTTAGAGGAGCTTGCTTCCTTTTTGGATCTGTATGGAAATACTTCTTCAAAGAATGTAGCATTCTTTGATTCGATTATCCTGTTTTTGTGTATGGCTGGAATTTTTGAATCATACACAAGAAAGTGATACGTACTACTATTATGTGCATAGCCAATGAAGACACAGGCTATAGTTTTTGGGCCTATCCTTACCTTCTTTGGTGATGGAACAACCACTTTAACAAGACACCCCCATACTCGCAAGTGTTTATGG